AAACCTGACTGGGGGGGGACACAGGGTCAAGGGAAAATAAATACGTGGGGGTTGTGACCCAATGAAACCCCTCCAAACCCCCTAAAATATCTATGGGAGTTGAGAGCCCATCGGGGTAATGAGAGTTGCACATTCTCAGTATTGAGTGGTTTGGGATCTGGGGGTGCAAACCTGACTGGGGGGGGGACACAGGGTCAAGGGGAGACCCAGAAAATCCCCCCCAAAACCCCCTGAAAATACTGGCAGCTGTGACCCAAAGAAACCCCTCCAAACGCCCTAAAATATCTATGAGAGTTGAGAGCCCATCGGTGTAATGAGAGTTGCACGGTCTCAGTATTGAGTGGTTTGAAATCTGGGGGTGCAAACCTGAATGTGAGGGGGATACGGGGTCAAGGAGACACCAATACCCTGAAAAATCCCCCCCCCAAAACCACCTAAAGAGAAATGGGGATTGTGAATCCATTGGTGCAATGAAGTGTTGTAGGTTGCTGAGATAACAAGTGCTGAGAAATATTGGGGTGCAAACCTGACTGGGGGGGATGCAGGGTCAAGGGAGACTCAGAAAATCTCCCCCAACCCCCCTGAAAATACTGGCAGCTGTGACCCAAAAAAACCCCTCCAAACTCCCTAAAAATCAATGGGAGTTGGGGACCCATTGGTGTAATGAGAGTTGCACGTTCTCAGTATTGAGTGGTTTGGAATCTGGGGGTACAAGCCTGACTGGGGGGGGATATAGGGTTAAGGGAGACACTAACACCCCAAAAATCTCCTTTAGGGTGGCAAAACCCCCTAAAAACAAGCAGGAGCTGTGAACCCATTGGTGTAACCTTTTGTGCACATTCTCAGCCTGCCGAAATACCAAATGCTGAGAAATCTGGGGGTGCAAACCCATTTTGGGGTAAGAGGGGTCAAGGAACACCTAAAAAAAACCCCAAACCCCGTGAAAATCAGCAAGAGTCAGGAATCCACCGGTGTGCCGTTCTCAGCCCCTGCCATGCCAAGCACTGAGAGCCCCAGGGGTGCAATCCCCCCGCCATGGGGTGACCTTTGGGGACCCCCCAAAAGGATACTTGGTGCCCACGACCACCCTGACGAG